TCAGCGAGCTCGTTCCGCGAGCGTTTTGCAAGAAGGGGGACCAGAGAAAGTTGTACGCGTGCTTTTTCAGTCCCGTGTGGGTGCACGAAGCGAGGCCCGGAGCGCCGCCTCCTGCTGCGAGGGCCGCGGGCCGAGCCAGCGGGGCGCAGGGGCGGCCTCCGGGGCCCGGGCTTGCCGCTGCCCGCTCGCCCGGCTCCCGCCCGCATTCCCTTTGCAGGGCGCTCCCCGCCGCCGGAAGGCTAGTTTTGTGCAGTTTGCTCAGGTCGCTCAAATGCTAAGTGAAGACTAATGAGACTTTTTGCTTTTTTACAATTTTCTGATCCTTCCATTTGCACTGCTGTTTTTTCAACCCGGAGGACAGACGAGGGTCAGGGAGTGTAAAAGGCATTTCCCGAGGTGCAAATGGTGTACAACGCTAAGCAGATGCTAAATTTCAGCGGAAAAAGTACCAACAGATTGCTCATTCCTCGGCCCCGGCAGATGGCTATTTTTTTTAACCAGCTCAATCTACTTAGTCCAAAGAATCCATTTAATTTCTCACCATTGATTGCGGATGAAATTGGTTTAAAAAAAAAAAAATCTAGGCCCCTGGGAAGCTCCGCACGATCGGCTCCTGTAATTGGAGCCAATAGGCGCAGCCTTGTAAACTCGTCTCCCAAATGCGCCCCCTTCGGGCGCAAGGCTGGCCCTATGGCCTCCCCCAGGATTGAGTTCCTGCCATCTTATATGGTTAAGTGTCTGTTCTCTGGTCCTTACCCTCAAATACAACGGAGTACCCCCAAGGCAGGGACCTTGTCTTAGCATTGGGCCTGGTACAGAGTTGCAGCCGAGAGGTTGTCAAATGAAAACGCATCACCTCGCTTACTGTGACATTTACTAAGGGCCTACTATGTGCCCTGGAGGTTTAGTGATGACAATGCCCCTGCACTCATGAGCTTACCTTCCAGTAGGGAAACAGACAACCAACAAATACGTAATATAAAGTGAAGTACGTATAAAATAAGAAAGTCATGGAGGTGTTATTGCATAAGGGATGTTCAGAGAAGGCCTCTCTGCCAAGTTGACATCTTGAGTAGAAAAGAGAATGAGAGGCTGAGTCCCATAGAGAGCCTTGACTATGGGATCTAGGCCTTCAGTTGCCTCACAAGAGGGGGAAAGATAGGTTACCAACCCCAAGAGGCTATTAAAAGACAACGGACAAGAAAGTGCTTCGTGCACAGCGGAGCCATTAGAATTGGAGGCGTTTGGTCTCCCTGTGTTGGTTGCACTGAACCTGCCCTGTGCCTCCAGCAAATGCTCATCAATGTCAGGTAGGCAAGTGTCTCAGCCAACTAAAGGAAGACGTTCTCAAGGCTCTGTGCACCAATGAAGACTCTCCCCTGGCAAAGCGAAGTGCTGAGAAATCAACTTTGAGAGGCATTCTGAAAAATAAGTAAACAAACAGGCACCCACTTTCTCCTCATTCGGTTTTAAAAGTTTGCTTTGGAACACAGTGAGGTTGAGGTTCTGGGGAGATAGCCAGATGGTGAAAGCAGGCAGTTGACTTGCACTTGGAGGTCACTTGCTCACGTGCAGTGGTTGACAGAACATGGGCTTTTAGTATATGAGCCACCCAGAAGTATAGTTCCACATACTAAACAGGTCATCCTGCATCTGGAAAATGCCGTGACTTGGAGCAAGCTACCCCATGGAGCAGTTGAGAGCATTACAGCCAGCACTTGGACTCCCATCCACTCCAAGAAGGCCTTCTTTTGAGCTAGAAACCAATTTAGACTTTGGTTTTGCATTTATTCTACTCTTCCCTCTATTCTAAGTTGTCATCTAATGCCTGTCACCTCTGCTGGGCTGGTAGCTCCTTCCATCCCGTATGTATGGCATATAGTAAACACTCGATAAATATAAGCCATTATAAAAGCCTAGAGTCAGTGAATAATTGCCTCAATTCCAGGAGCCTTGGATTCCAGAGCTTTCTCTCCTAGTAACTGATGCTGTCACCTTGGGCCTTGGTGCCATCACTTGTAAAATAAAGGGGTGGGTATGGCAAAATGACCACACAGATCCCTCCCAGCTGGAGCTGAGTCTGTGCATACTCTCAGCTCTACAGATGCAAGAAATAAAGATTATTACAACTACCTAAGCTAACTGCGATAGTAAACAGCAGGGGAATTCTTTCCTGAATTCACCAGAAAGCCCAACCTGCTGCCATGAATTGTTGTTTCAGTTTCAGTTGAAGATTATGTTATGTATCTGCTCCTCCTCTCCGTCTCCTCTGGCCAAGAAAGGAATATGTGAACAACGAGATATTGTGCCTGGTAAGTATATACCTCCTCAGACTGGTCTGCAATTAGAATTTCAAAGGTTCACACCTCTACCTACTATTTCTGGGATTCATGGGCCATAATCCTCTTTAAATTTGAAACCAGGCCTTGGTGCAAACCATCTGCACCTCTCATTTTTTCAAATACCCTGAAAACCATTCCTGTATATCTAAAAGTGAATAGACTCTGGTGTAGGCAAAACGCTGGATTTCTTTGTGTGGAGCTGCTCAGAAATACACATCATCCTTTCCAGAGCCAGGAAACACACACACACACACACACATACACTCACACACTTATACTTGTATATGGCCGGCTTTGTATAAAGCAGGCATCATCTTCATTGTCATCATCATAATCCCCATCAAAGACTGTTCAGCACCCTTGCACTCATGCCAGTTTCTTACTCTGAGCACTGCTGATTGGGGTAAGACAGTGGTCCTTGCAGGATGCTCTCTATCTCCTTGAAAAGTGGCAATAAGAATAGCTGAGGCTTATTCTTATGGATAGTGGTGGCACTACAGACCCCACGGTCATCAAGGAATTGGATGAGTTATGTTTCCAGTTGCAGGCTTCACTCTCATGCATCTGCCTAACAATCCAAGGGGGTGCATTTGAAGATGGCTAACAACATACCAGAGGTGGGAGAGAGGGGGTGGGGAGTTGGGGGTGCTCTGTGGGCCCAAGAAACCAAGAGGAGCTATTGATGCTCCCATCAACAGTGCTAGCCAGCATCCCAGCCTGACGGGATAGAATTACAGCATTCATCAAAGGCTCCCAATGCCTTCACGGGACAGGGTCAATGGAGTAGAGTGGGGAGAGAATATGCTTTGTGATACATGAACCTAGGTTGAATCTCTGCTCTGTCACTTATTAGCCTTGTTTTCTCATCTGCAAAATTAGGGTAATAATAAAACCACACTACAGGTTGTTATGCGAAATGAAATGAGCAGATGTGGATAAAGTGGTTGACCTATAATGAATAATCAACCAATGTTAGTTCCCTTTGAAATCCCTTTTTATGTGAAGTGTGACTATAAATGCATCTCTTTTCACTCCACGACTCAGATATATCACTAAATTAGTCACCTGGAGGAGGAGAGAAGAGGGGGGGTGGAGGCTGCACAGTAATTCCCAAAGTCTGGGATCCTGAATTTGGGAATAGTCTTCAGAGACCTGGGTTATTCTGGTAAGTATCCTTTGTGAGTTTGGATCCATTAGTGATGGTTCAGGATTTTGGAAGTAAATAAACAGTATCTAGAGTCAAATAGGATGAATACCAATCAAGATCAGAAGTGAGTTGACACCATAAAATAAAAGCCTTGTTTTCATTGATCACAGCTCCTGTAAAGAATAATATTCTGAGCAAGGCAATTTCTGGAGGATAGAACAGGGCATTTATTTTGCAGAAGCATGAGTTATAGGCTGATTCTCACATGAGAAAGACGGGATCACATCTCTGCCACATAGCAGCTGTTAGGCCTTGTTAAAGTAATTTACTTCTCTGAGTCTCAGTTTTCACATCTGCAAAATGGGGGCAATGAAAATAGCTATCCCTTAGTGCTCTGAGGATTCAGTGAACTAAGGCACATAAAGGGCTTGGCAGGGTCTGAGATATCATAAGTAAACAATCTTATGGGAATACTGAAAACCTTACCTGGAGATATAAATTCTGATATTGCTTCCAAAAAAAATTCACTGAGACCTGCTAGGTACCAGATACTTGACTAAGTAGAGAATTTTGGACATACATATCCTTCTTTAAACTTCATGACAACTTTATAAGGTAAGTATAATTATCCCCAATTTACCAAGAGAGAAACCCGAGGCTACTGGGGTATAGGATACTACTTTCTGACTTGCTCTCCTGGGCCGGGCACTGCACTGGTTGTTATACACGCAGTGTCTGAATTCATTCACATAACAGTCCTGATATGGGAGTATTACAATAATGGAAACTGAGACACAATGAAATCTCACCGTGAGTTAATGTCTCTGAGCCTGGCAGACGAAATCTAGTACTTTTTCCACCGCCTGCAAAATTGGTCTCTCCACTATACTACCTCTGTTAGATA